GGTTGCTTGTGGTAATGTAGCACTCAATCCGGTGATTCCACCGGTGGTCTGACCATGTAAAATGGTTAAGATTTGACAAAGTTATGAGCCTTACAACAAGAGAAAGTGACAATTTCAGAGGATATATATCATGTCTAGACCATTGTGACCGGTATTTATGTGACCAGTTGTTTCTAGTAACAGTACTCAATCCGGTGATTTCACCGGTGGTCTGATCATGTAAAATGGTTAATATTTGACAAAGTTATGAGTGCTACAAGAAAAAGTCACAAATTCACTGGCAGAGGATATATGATATCTAGACCATTGTGACCAGGATTTTTCAACCAGTAGTTATGTGACCAGCTGCTTGTGGTAGCATAGCACTCAATCCGGTGATTCCACCGGTGGTCTGATCATGTAAAATGGTTAATATTTGACAAAGTTATGAGTGCTACAAGAAAAAGTCACAAATTCACTGGCAGAGGATATATGATATCTAGACCATTGTGACCGGGATTTTTCAACCGAAAGTTATGTGACCGGTTGCTTGTGGTAACATAGCACTCAATCCAGTGATTCCACCGGTGGTCTGATCATGTAAAATGGTCAAGATTTGACAAAGTTATGAGTGCTACAAGAAAAAGTCACAAAGTCAGAGGATATATGATATCTAGACCATTGTGACTGGGATTTTTCAACCAGAAGTTATGTGACCGGTTGCTTGTGGTAACATAGCACTCAATCCGGCGATTTTACCGGTGGTCTGATCATGTAAAATGGTCAAGATTTGACAAAGTCATGAGCCCTACAAGAGAAAGTCATGAATTTAGAGGATATATGATATCTACAGTATTGTGACCGGGATTTTTCAACCGGTAGTTATGTGACCAGTTGCTTGTGGTAGCATAGCACTCAATCCGGTGATTCCACCAGTGGTCTGACCATGTAAAATGGTTGATATTTGACAATGTTAGGAGCCTTACAAGAGAAAGTCACAAAGTCAGAGCATATGTGATATCTAGACCATTGTGACCGGGATTTTTCAACCGGTAGTTATGTGACCGGTTGCTTGTGGTAACATAGCACTCAATCCGGCGATTTTACCGGTGGTCTGATCATGTAAAATGGTCAAGATTTGACAAAGTCATGAGCCCTACAAGAGAAAGTCATGAATTTAGAGGATATATGATATCTAGACCATTGTGACCGGTATTTTTGTGAACAGTTGCTTGCAGTAATATAGTACTCAATCTGGTGATTCCACCGGTAGTCTGATCATGTAAAATGGTTAAGATTTGACAAAGTTCTGAGCCTTATAAGACCAAGTCATAAATTCAAAGGATATAGTGTTGTATCAGCTTATATCTGGACCATTGTAATCAGTATTTTTGCAACCGGTTGCTTGTGGTAATGTAGCACTCAATCAGGGGATTCTATTTTGCCCCTTTGATAGGAGAGTGTTCTAGCACTGTCAAAACATATTTAGGAGTATATATCAACATATTCCACCACTTAGTTGACCCCCTGAAGGGCTACATCAAACAATATAGCATATATACATGAAAACATAACTGATAAGAACCCTCCAACACTATCAAGGATGTTATTGGTAATCAGACACTTGGGATATGTCCCATGTATATCCCTAGTCATGGTCCTAAAATTCTGGAAAGATCCCTCAAGTATTGACGGTAAGATAAGTAAAACAACATAGGCTTGACATATGACAATTTACCCCTGTCACTGAAAGTCACTGACACATATCACACACACCAAAGATTTTATTAAAAATGCAGTAGTATGTATAGTAGACTACATAATGAACCTAAAATACACATTGCCCTGAAGGTAAAGTCTTTGTAGAAGAGTGTGGTGAGGAAATATTAGGATTGGTAAGTAAAAGTCCAACCACTACATATACACCAAACTGGTGAGTTTCGATGTTTTGGGCTTTTGGACTTTCCCACACTCTATTTCAGAGATATTTCACTGCCCTAGCTCTCAACTGTTAGTGGATCCTTTTATAAATCTGAGACCATGATATTGACCATGCTTAGAATATATTGCAAGCATCTGATTACTAGATTGTGTCCATTGGAGAATGTAGGCCCCTTATCAGTACACATACCCCCTTTCCCTTAGATAACAATATTATACCATATTTCTAACTGATCCTTGGGATGAGAAGTAGGTATATATGTAGTAAGGATAATATATGAGTAGTCTGGATCATTTATGCAATGGTAAAGTAGGGGAAAACACCAAAAATGTGACAACTGCAATCTTAGAAGTTTTAGCCTGTATAGAAGGATTCTGTAGGTATCCTGATGTACCAACCTGGTGTACATACTCTAAATCTGTCTAGGAATGGTCCCCATATCATTCTGCAGCTGTGTTCCTGTAGGAAAACCTTTCCCAGAGGATGGACCACCAGGAGAGGGTGAGTACACAGCATCACAAGGTTTTGTCTGTGGATGTTAAGGTCATGCTCAAAGGAAGGAGAACTCAAAGGGCTTGACTTCAGCTTGTGTGCTGCACCCCTTACCCAAGTATGTGCCCTTAATTTATGAGAGGCAGGAGGGAAGTCCAACAAAGTCCAGAGGTTTCCGGAGGTCAGACACTAGGGGAGTTCGGCGGAACTCCAGAGGTTCAAGGAAACCCAGAGTAAGACTGCTGTGGACAAGTCTGGAGTAGAAATGGAACAGAGGTAAACTACCCTAAGGTAGAGCTGGAGACACACTGGTCTAGATATAACATATCCTCTGAATGTGTGGCTTTCTCTTGTAAGGCTCATAACTTTGTCAAATCTTGACCATTTTACATGATCAGACCACCGGTAAAATCACCGGATTGAGTGCTATGTTACCACAAGCAACCGGTCACATAACTACCGGTCAAAAAATACCGGTCACAATGGTCTAGATATCATATATCCTCTAAATTCATGACTTTCTCTTGTAGGGCTCATGACTTTGTCAAATCTTGACCATTTTACATGATCAGACCACCGGTAAAATCGCCGGATTGAGTGCTATGTTACCACAAGCAACCGGTCACATAACTACCGGTTGAAAAATCCCGGTCACAATGGTCTAGATATCACATATGCTCTGACTTTGTGACTTTCTCTTGTAAGGCTCCTAACATTGTCAAATATCAACCATTTTACATGGTCAGACCACTGGTGGAATCACCGGATTGAGTGCTATGCTACCACAAGCAACTGGTCACATAACTACCGGTTGAAAAATCCCGGTCACAATACTGTAGATATCATATATCCTCTAAATTCATGACTTTCTCTTGTAGGGCTCATGACTTTGTCAAATCTTGACCATTTTACATGATCAGACCACCGGTAAAATCGCCGGATTGAGTGCTATGTTACCACAAGCAACCGGTCACATAACTTCTGGTTGAAAAATCCCAGTCACAATGGTCTAGATATCATATATCCTCTGACTTTGTGACTTTTTCTTGTAGCACTCATAACTTTGTCAAATCTTGACCATTTTACATGATCAGACCACCGGTGGAATCACTGGATTGAGTGCTATGTTACCACAAGCAACCGGTCACATAACTTTCGGTTGAAAAATCCCGGTCACAATGGTCTAGATATCATATATCCTCTGCCAGTGAATTTGTGACTTTTTCTTGTAGCACTCATAACTTTGTCAAATCTTAACCATTTTACATGGTCAGGCCACCAGTGGAATCACCGGACTGAGTGCTATGTCACCACAAGCAACTGGTCACATAACTACCAGTTGAAAAATCCCGGTCACAATGGTCCTAGATATGATATATCCTCTGACTTTGTGACTTTCTCTTGTAAGGCTCCTAACTTTGTCAAATCTTAACTATGTTACATGGTCAGACCACCAGTGGAATCACCGGATTGAGTGCTATGTTACCACAAGCAACCGGTCATGTAAATACCGGTCAAAAAATACCGGTTGCAATGGTCTAGATACAATATATCATAATATCCTCTAAATTTATGACTTTCCCTTGTAGGGCTCATAACTTTGTCAAATCTTAACCATTTTACATGATCAGACCACCGGTGGAATCGCCGGATTGAGTGCTATGTTACCACAAGCAACCGGTTACATAAATACCGGTCATTGTTGCACCCCATAATACCGGCCCACCCGTCTTCATTGCACCCCATATCACTGGCCCACTCGTCTTCATTGCACCCTATATCACCGGCCCACCCATCTCCATTGCGCCCTATAATGCCGGCCCACCCGTCTTCATTGCACCCCATATCACCGGCCCACCCGTCTTCATTGCACCCCATATCACCGGCCCACTCATCTTCATTGCACCCCATATCACCGGCCAGCTCGTCTTCATTGCACCCCATATCACCGGCCGACTCGTCTTCATTGCACCCAATAACACCGGCCGACTCGTCCTCATTGCACCTCCTTTACTGGCCCACCCGTCTCCATTGCACCTGCTATACCGGCCCACCCGTCTCCATTGCACCTGCTATACCAGCCCACTCGTCTTAATTGCACCTTATTTACCGGCCCACCCATCTCCATTGCACCTGCTATACCGGCCCACCCGTCTCCATTGCACCTGCTATATACCGGCCCACTTGTCTCAATTGCACCCTATTCTCCGGCCCCCTCGTCTTCATTGCACCTTATGTACCGGCCCACTCGTCTCCATTGCACCTCATTTACCAGCCCACTCATCTCCATCACACCCCAGTTCCCCGGCCCACTCATCTATATTGCACTCCATTCCTCCAGCCCACTCATCTATCACACACTGGATTCACTACTACTATTCATAATTTCCTATATAGTACATTGCTATACTACCATCTATACTATATACACCCGGCCCATCTGTTTGCCTTGGACACTCCACCCCCTCGGCCCACTCGTCTAACACGGTACAATTATTGCCATGGGCCGGCACCGGGTGGCCCGTCTCTATTGGTACATTGTCACACCCGGCTGCCCGTCTGAGACGGGTGAATTAACTGAAGGGGCTCAAGTACCGCTGGGGCCTGCGCCACCTTTAGGAGGATTGGTGGGCAGAGCACTAGCTGTCTGGCGGGTGCGCTTTGCCGCCCTGCGTTCTGTAATACTGCGGTCTCGCCACTCCCTCTGACGCTTAGTGGTCTCTAGGTTCATCCATAGGGCCTCTTCTAACAACTCCGCGCAACGAGGGTTAATCCAACGCCCGCCCTCAGGGATCGGTGGTTGGTTGGCGCTTGGTTGGGAGGCCGGTTCTTCACCAACGAGTTCTGTGAAGGATGGGGAAGCACCTCCGATACACGGTCCCTCCGAGGACTCCTCTGCCAAACGAGAGGTGAGTCCGTTCATTACCTGCATCATGTTAAATGCCAGGGTGAAGTCCCCGAATCCAACGGGGGTAGCGCGGTCAGCAGCGGTGCCAGAGCGCAAGTGCACGTCGTGCTCGAGATAGGCACGGACCATGTCAAAGACCACCATCAGGTCCCCGTCACCCAGACCACTGGGTAGGGTGAAGCGCCGAGCGCCAATGCGGGTGAGGAGGGGCGCCATGGTAGGTTCTGTGATTTGACAAGTGAATAGTAGTAGAGTGTTGTCGGTGGTGAAGGATAGTGAGGGGACAGCGGAGGAGGAATTGACGACCGGGTTTTTATAGGCCGAGTCGTCGAGGTCCAGGTGCCCAACTGACACCTGGGAATCTCCAGCTGGGAGATTCCCGGTTCCCTCCTCTAATTCTGAGACATCTTCTATGCCTAGCACTGTAAAATAGTCTTTTAGCACACTTAAATCAGATACTCAATCGTAGGACAGCCAAGTCATGTCCCCTGACTTCCAAAGGATTTGAAATGTGGAATCCACCCGTTTACCCGAGTGGGCGAGTATCTTGTCAATTGCCCATTCCGACTCGACTTCCTCAAATTCGGCTATTTGAGTTTCCATTCCCCCGGGAAAGAGGTGATCATCGCTGGGGATATGGATCTGAAGGTATGATGAGTGAAACACGGGGTGAACCCCACGCTGACGCAGGCAACTGGGCAGGTCCAACTTGTAAGAATTGTTCCGGTAGTCTTCGAGGATTCTATATGGCCCGATGAATTTAGGCATGAGTTTTCGAGTCGTTCCCTTTGGCAGCGATATGTTCTTTGTCAATACATATACTAAATCACCTTTCACTAAAGGGCAGGCCCTTCGATGCTTGTTGGCCTTGTAAGTCTGCTTAACTTGAGCTCCCAGTACCGCGTCATGAGCTGCCATCACAGCGGTTTTCATTTTCTGGGCAAACACACGTACTCCGGGATACTCTTCTGACCCGGCAGTTTCCCAAATCATGGCTCTTGGGAGTCGTCCATTTGCTTGGAACGGTGAGGTCTCTGTCGACTCGGATTTGGCTAGGTTGATAGTGAATTCAATAGCAGGCAACTTTGCTACCCAATCCTTCTGATTGGGAGTGATGCATGATCTTAGCATCTGCCCGATCGTTCGGTTCACTCATTCGGTTGCCCCATCCGTCTGCGGGTGATATGCGCTTGACATCTTAAGCTGTATGCCAATGAGTTTATTGAGATGAGTCCAGAAGTTACTCGTGAACAGTACGTCCCGGTCGCTAATAATGGCTTTGGGTATTCTGTGGTACTTGTAGACTTCTGCGAACATTAATTCGGCAATATCTCTAGCTGTGTAAGTTGTTCTGCTAGGAACTAAATGAACCATAGCTGTTAACAGATCAATAATTAGACAAAACCCTATCATACTTAAGGGAACATGTTTGGTGGAAAACGATGGTTCCCGACGTACAAATGTTCTGCAAGTCATGCAAAATGTGTCAGCGCAGTAAACCATCAAATCAAAAGCCCCTGGGGCTGCTGAACTCACTGACGGTACCCTCCCAACCCTGGGAGGCCATTGGTGTTGACTTTATGGGACCGTTACTGCCGTCCAGAGACCGGAACGGAGAGTTGTCTGCGCCCAGGTGGGCTAACAGAGAATGGGCTTGGTCGATAATGACCTCGACGAGCCGACGTTCCCCTATTTTGATCTCAGGTATGCAGAGCGCAGTACGGTCTTTCAACTTAATGCTAATCAAACCGTTTTTTATCTCAAAGTTTCTAAACTCCTTAGGCGACTCCAGGACCTTTCTGAACATAGTATCCTCATGATACTGATGTCTCATCTGGTCTAGCAATCCCGTTTTGTGTGGGTAAGTTACGGGGATTCTTTCTTCCTTGTCAGAGGTAGGCTCGACTTTCTTTTCAGAGGTAGTCTCGACGTCGTCCTTTTCAGTCTGTTCCCCCCCCTCCATTTGTGGTGCAGGGTTAGGAACTGTCATACTCAGGGCCCGAGGACCCCGCAGCACGAAGCGATCTCTCAGTCGTCTCGCAAACTCTCGGCTCGTTTCAGGACGCCCCGTTTCAGCTGGGGCTGCAACCGACCGCGCCGCTCATGGGCAAGGCACTGATGGGCCCGGCGTCACCAACTGCTGGTCTAATGCTTCAGCAGCCCGTCGCAGAACCTGCCAAGATGCCTCATCCCTGGCCTGTGCCGTGGCTTTCGCAACTGACGAATCTGCGGCCGGCAATTTTGCCCCTGCGGGTGGGGGTGACGTCCGACGGGATGCCCTACCGCCCCTACGAGGCCCTCCCGTCAATGCAGATTCCTGGGCGTCGCCCAGGCCCCACGCAATGAGCCTGGAACTCCTCTGAGGTCCAGAGGCACGCGCCCCATCCCCAACCAGCACTGGCATGCTGATGATCATAGAGGCGTCCCGAGGTGCCACGCCCTCGTCATGGACCACATATTCACTTGTGGCCCGCACTGTCCCGGGCGCGTCGAAATCATACATACGCGATAGGGCATCTGGAAGAATATTGTGCGCCCCAGGCAAGTACTCCACCGTGAAGTCAAACTCACCCAGTTTTTCCATCCAGCGTGCTTGGCGACCCAACAAATTCTTCTGATTCAGCAGGTGAGTCAGACTTTTATGATCCGTCAACCAGACGAAAGGACATCCCTGCAGAATGTCCCGATGTCTTAGCATGGTTTCAACGCCTGCCAACAACTCCTGTTCATGGACAGGATAGTTGCGCTGCGCGGCGTTCAGCTTGGCCGAATAGAAGGCAGCAACCTTTGCCTTGCGCCAATCGGCCCCCTGAGCTATGATGCCCCCAACCCCCGTCGGGCAGGCGTCTGTCATCATCCAGACCTGCTCTTGACCTGGACCGTAGGTGAGTGGTACCCTACTGTGAGTTGAACACACCTCAACATAGCGTTTCACTTCTTCAAAAGCTCTCTGCTCGGTCTCGTCCCAATGAAAAGGGACTGTATCACCACACACCGCTGATAGGACCCCTAAAGGGATCTGCACTTTGTGTATATCATCGGCCAGATACCCCACCGCACCGATAAATCCGCGGCAGAGGTCCCAATTGGTAGGTGGTTTCCATTTCAGAACATTGTTGACTTTGTTGGGATCCATTCGGATCCTGTCATTACTCACTATTCGTCCCAGGATCCTCATCTCGGGCTGAAGGAACTTGAGCTTCTTTTCGCTCAGAAAGAGCTGCTCGCGTTCCAGAATTTGTACGATCTTCCGTACGTGCTCTATGTGCTCATCCAACGTATCTGAATATATAATAATATCATCCAGATATACATCCATGAAGATCCCAATATATTCGCCAAACAAATAATTCATTACCGCCTGGTAAGTTGCTGGTGTGTTGCAGTCCCCTTGCTGCAGGACGTGGCTAACCATATTACCATCCGGTGTAGTCATAGCCATGCACGGCACATGTTCTGGTACAACTCGGATTTGCTCATAGGCGTCTTGTCCATCCATCAAAGAACAGTACGGCTTCCTAGCAACTCGTCTCAGAATGCCGTCCATGTCGGGCAACGGTGAGGTTAGTTAACGTGTGTTTTTATTGCGTTCACGAAGGTCGACCACGGTTCTCAAGCGGTCGGTCCCTGGTTTCCGTATAAAGAGCATAGGGACTGTATTTCCGGCACTAGTCATTTGCCATCGCCCGGACGCGAGGTATGCACTTCGCTTCTCTGCCCATTGAGGTCTCATGGGTTCGGGACAACGAGAGGGTCGCCACGGGTATACCTTGTTTTCATCAATGAGGGGTACCATGTGATTTATCGCCCGCAAAGGGGGTAGACTTGTGTCCGCAGCTCTCGTGCACAAGGGCCTTGCTAATTCTAACAGGTGTTTTCTAGCCCATTCGATTTCACCTTCAAGCACCTCCACTGCCCGTGACTCAAGGGTTGTCACCCCACTGCCTTTCAACGGGAGCGGTTCTATGCTCCCAAGTATTACCCTAGGTGAGTTAAACCTGATCGTCACACAGTGCTGATATAGAAACGGAGTTCCGAGTATCAGATCGTAGTTCTGAAGGTTGATCACGTCGAAGTACCGACGATAGTCTGTACCTTGGTACTGAAACCGAACCTCGGTTCCATAGTTCACCTTGGACTGGGACCCTTGAACAGCTAACTGAATCGTTAGGGGTTTTTCCAGCACGGTAAGTCGGCATTTCAGTTGCTCAGCCGTTGTAAGGGAAATGAAATCCGCCAGCGATCCAGTGTCTATTAGCGCCCGGGCAGGTCGCCCATTCACATGAACCACCACCACTATTGGCTTCGGAATAGCTCTCGTCATATCCCTGGTCATTGCCGAATTTCGTTGTAACGCTGGGTACGTGCCCTGTGCTACTTGTACCCCATAGACGGTGCACTCATCAAACGGCGCAGTTGCCTGGAAGGACGCTAACTCGTCTTTATTTAGCAACACGCTACTGGGGGCACATTGCCTCTTGACTGTGGAGTCAAACAACTCGTTAAGTCCTACATAGATGTCGTCTTGAACCATTGACAAGTCCTCGTTTAATTCCCAGGCTGCCTTCCTTAAGTGGCGACGATACCATCTTCCGGGGTTCCAATGCCACTGCAAGACCGTTCTTCTCGACAGGTATGTCTCTATCGCTAGGGCATTGTCGGTGACCTGATAAGTTTGCTCATTGATACGCTTACAGACGAAACGTCAGTCCAACGACGAGGACCAATAGCCCAAGGTTGGAGCTATATACTCCTCCAACCACCACTCGATGCGATCCTCGATCGGGGTTCCCATAGGTGCCCTCTTGTCGGTGCATCGTCTCTCCTGCCTATGCAGCTGCTGCCCTTTCCAGCCCTTTCATGTGCTCAAGAGCCGTCCTAGATACAGCCAATAAGCCCGATCGATTCGAAAATGGGGATCCTCCAGCTGGCGCCGCGATATCCTCATTTTTTCCATCCCACACCCATCGTGGTGGAAGTCCATTACGATGTAAGTGTCCTCATCTTTAAGCTTAGTTACCCAGAATCAATCCGGGTCGTCCCAGTTAACCGTGTTTGAACGATCGTCTGAACTATCCCAGGGGAACCTCAATCCCTGTAGACGATCCTCTGCCCTTCGGGCTACGGGATCCCTGAATCGTATGTTAGATTCCTCTCTTTCCGTGATCGTGGGGGCTTCTTCAAATGGCCCCTCCATGAACAGTCCGACGGACCCT